CACCATGAAGCATTTCCCCTAGTACTCTATATGTATTTTAACACTTACCACATACATGTAACACTGACATTTCTTTCTCTATTATAGGTTTTATGATCATTCCAGTTGGCTGCAAACTTTCTATTCTGAGCCTCCCATATCATTTTGTTTTACTGCAGTGAAATTTATATAGTCAAATGTACAAACCTTAATCAGTTTTTATAATGTGTATACCCATGTAACTATCACTCCCATTAAGTTACAAATGTTAACATTGTTCCAGAAAATTCTCTCCAAGTTAATCACCATCTCCCATAGGCAACCACTGTTCAGATTTCTATCACCATAGATTAGTTTTGTTTTTGAACTTCTTATAAACAGAATTGTACAGTATATATTCATGTATATGCCTGTCTTCTTTCACTCAATACAATGTTTTTGAAATTCACCTCTCTTACTGGGTTTATGGCACAAAGTTCACTGCAGCCTTGAACTCTTGGACTCAAGTGATCCTCCTAACTCAGCCTCTTGAGTAGCTAGGACTACAGGCATGAGCTACCATACACAGCTAATTTGCAAGGAGGGGGTGCGGGGGTAGAGACAGGGTCTCGCTATGTTGCCCAGGTTGGTCTTGAACCCCTGGCTTCAAATGACCCTCCTACCTTGGCCTCCCAAAGCACTGGGATTACAGGTGTGAGCCACCATGCCTGGCCATATTCATTCCTTTTACTGCCTTCTGCCTTTCCACTTTGGACTGTGGAACTTAGTAGTGTGCCTTGCACACGGCAGGTGCTCAAATAATCCTAGTTAAGCAACTACATATATATATGTATAGTATATATAGTTGTGTATAGTGTGTATATATAGTTCCTTCCTGTAACAAACAGAATTACACATATATGTTCATTACAAGGTAGGTCCCGGATCTGAATTCCAACATGAGGCTTTTCTCTATGGTCTACCTATGGTTCCAGTCTCTTCCCCAAGAGATCCCTAAGGAAACTTAGCAGCTACCCACTGCTCCATACCTGGAAGAAGCAGTACTAACCAGGGACAATAACTGAGTGCTAAAGATGTGCCAGGCACTGATTTAAGGATTTCGTATGTATTAACACATTTAATCCTCACGACAACTCATCATATAGGTACTGTTATCATTCTCTTCTCTCAGATACGAAAATCAGGGTAAAGAGAATAAACAACTTGCCACACCGCTAGAAAATGGCAGAACTTAGAGTCAGGATCTGTACTCAGGAAATCAAGCTCCAGAGCTTGAACCACTAGCCAGTAACATCCTGCATACAGGCAGCTGAAATTCTCTGCCATGAAAATGTGGATAGCTGGGAGTAACAAGCAATGATACCCCAAAGTTAAATGTGTGGAGTGAGGAAGGAAGATCCCAAAGATGCTGGCAAAAAGGGTACGATAAACTTATCCCCAAATATACCTGGAGTCTTTGAATCTTGGGAGAAAGGGAAAACTAGCTCCATGTTGGGGCTCTACATCCTGTTACCTTTCCTAACCTTAGCAACTCTCGTCTAGGGATCTGTCCTTTAGAAGTTGCAGTTCATCTTGTCCAAGCTTAGTCTCATCAAAGCATAAATGAACATCGAGTCAGCCATCATAAAAGTTGTTTCACTCAACAGAGCCTAAACAAGGCAAAAGCTGTGCTCTTAGTTATGAAGTCCAGGAGGGTCCACCACCTTGGGCAAATTACCTCACCTCTCTGGGTTTCGTTTTTCTCAGTTATAAAACGCAAAGGCTTCACAAGGTAATCTATTAGGTCCTACTGAATTCTAAATGCTTTGATTCTTCTCTTACCAAAAGACCATGCCAAATCTACCTTCAACTAAGCGGCCAAATGAATCCTCTAAACATCCCTTTCTTATTACTCCCTTAGTGAAGACTCCAAAATTACTCTCTATGGCTTCTTACATAATCTTTTCTTTCTCCTAAGTTTTCAAGACATCCATAAGAAGGTCCCACTTACCTATCTACCCTTATTTGCTACTGTAAGTCGTTATAGTTCTGTTCCATACCCGCCGGTATGGGTTCCATACCCTACGGTCTGCTTTTCACAGGAGACAATTCCCAGCTTTTGAGTTTTGCTCGTTACCACCTCCGACACATCTAGCCGGAAACGCTAAGTTCTCCCTCCTAGGGCTGAATCCAAGGCCTTCAGTGAGGTCACGATTCTTTTCCAAGTAACCTTTCCCTATTTCTGTTAATTGTCCTTTCTTCAGACAACACGAATAAACTAAACCTTTACAAGATGCAAGACACACTAAGCGAAATACAACTCTATGTAAATCATTACATTTGAGCCTGTATCAACCACACACTCGGCTACCGGCATGCTAATAGCTTCCTTGGAGGCTTCACCTTAGGCAAGACCGTGCACTAGGAGGCTCCTGCACCCTCCAAAGCATCTAGGACAGTGTTGGGCACAGGGCAGGTACTCCACACGAACACGCCCGGGTCCGCCCTAATCCACCGCCAGGGCCTGCCGCTGGGCCGGGAGGACAGGCGTCGACCCCGGGGCCGGCGGGCGGTCCAGGGCCCAGGTGTGTGAGGTCACCCATGTGGTGAAGGGTCGACCCACGCAACGCCGGGCCCCGGCCACCTCTCCAGCAGGGCGTCTCCGCCGGCCGACTCCATCGCCTGCAGCCTCCCGGCCCCCGGACTTCCGGGCCAGGGCCTCACCGCCAACCCTCCTCCCTCCTCCCTCCACCTCCGGCCCCATGCCCCCTTCTCAGCCAGCCTGACAGGTCCCGCCGACGCCTGGCCGCGCTGGGGCGGGGTCCGGCCGCAGGCGCGCGACGGGAGGGGGCGCGGGAACACGGAGGCGGCCCGAGGGGTCTCGCGAGCGGAGTCGAGCGCCACTCACCCGGCGCCAAACACCAGAACCGGGGTCGCCCTGCGCGAGACAACGAGCGACAGCGAAGAGCGCTAGGCTGTGGCCGGACAGTGGCGGCGCCGACACTTCCTGCCTGAAGGGGCGGAGCGGAAGGCGCACCGGAAGGCGCGGCTGGACCAAGTGGAACGGGGGTGCGCAGAGTGTTCGCGCCTGGGCGCGGGGTCTGTGTGTCAGCCGAGCGGCTGGGCTGCTGGGGCCGGAGGCACACGGCCGGGGTCTTAACTGCCCTTCGGCCTGCTCCGATCCGCTGCGATATAGCGCCGGCGCCGCGGCGGTCGCCCGCAGCCGGGCCCTCGTCCCCCGCTCCTTTGGCAGCTCCGCGGCCCTTCCGCATTCCTGGCCCGCTGGGCGCGGCCGGGCTGGGCGCTGGAATTTGACCCGAGCGGGCCGCGGTCAGCGGAGGATTTGGGGTACCCTTTGACCCAGGCGGGGCGCGATCCGCCGAGGATTTGGGGTCCCCTGGCGCCGAACCCTGAGTTGCCAGATTTAGAAAGTAAAAGTACAGTTCTTCTAAATTTGAATTTCAGACAAGACAGGTTTTAGGGTTCGTCCCATGTAATGCTGAGAAGGTGAGGGCGGCGCCTGGGCGGATTCTTTTCCGCTCCAGAACCCTTCTCTTTTCAAACCGCATTCCAGCCCGAGTTAAATCCTTTAACCTGCTCCTCTCTGCTTACCCTCATAAGGTTTACGGCCTTATGAGGCTACGGCCACAGCCTATGGCTGTTTCATTCCTCCTTTAGCCACAAGAAAGTTTTATTCAAACTACTTTCTTAACTTTATCAAGAAAATGGCAACGCACACACATACATGCACACACAAAGAAAAACACGAAGCGGCCGGGCGCGGTGGCTCACGCCTGTAATGCGAGCTCTCACGGAGGCAGAGGCGGGAGGATAGCTTGAGCCCAGGAGTTCGAGACCTGCCTCGAATATATATATAGCGAGACCCCGTTCTCCACAAAAAGGAAGAAGAAGAAAAAAAAGAAAAACAAGCAGCTACGTTTTTCAGGTTTTGCTCTAGATCGTGTTTGTGGCTGTGTTCTTCAAGATATTTTCCCTCACCTTGAGGTAATCTAGCATTACTTCATCTAACATTACTAAAATAGCATTACTTCAGGATGGTAGAGGATTGGCAATCTAATAGCAAATCTTTATTGAACTCTTCTTACTGCCTTAACATGTGCTGCATGCTGAGAGATGAATTCAAAGCCTCTTAGGGAGTTTATATTCTAGAAATCTTTGCTCAGAAATTCCTAGAAGGGAGGGAGCTTGTGTTCAGCACTCTATAGCAGTTCTTAAACAGTAGCACGCCTAATTACAAGACTTTAAAAAACATTTTTGAGCCTCAAAACCGGGTATTAGGATTCAGTGAGTAAGGGGTGGAGGATAATTCCAATTTCTGGTAAGCACACATGATGCTGATGCGGTGGTCCTCATCCCAGCAGCACAGCTCTAAATCCAGTTCATGACTGTATGTATTTTCTCAATAGTGTTAGAAAAGCAATTGCTGAAAAGTCACACCTGGTTCTACAATATTTACCCTTTCCTTAACTGTAGTCTAGGTTTTGGTTCGATAGTTTAAATAATTAAAAAATATAAGTTTCTAGAATTGTGCTGTCCAATACAATCGTCACTAACCACACGTGGCTAAACTTAAATTCAGTTCCTCAGTTGTATTTGATAACGTTTGATACCTGGAATGCCGTGGCTATTCACAGGTGTGATCATAATGCACTACAACCTGGAACTCCTGGGCTCAAGCGATCCTCTCACCTGAGCCTCTCAAGTAGTTGGGACTACAGGTGAGAGACACCGCACCAGTGCGTCTGGCAGTATTAGACACATTTTTGTTTTTTGAAACAGTCTTGCTCTGTTGCCCAGGCTGGAGTGCAGTGGCTCGATCTCGACTCACTGCAACCTCTGCCTCCCGGGTTCATGCGATTCTCCTGCCTTAGCCTCCCGAGTAGCAGGGACTACAGGCGTGTGCCACGACGCCCATCTAATTTTTGTATTTTTAGTAGAGACGGGTTTTCACCATGTTGGCCAGGATGGTCTCAGTCTCTTGTCCTTATGATCCACGTGCCTCGGCCTCCAAAAGTGCTGGGATTACAGTCGTGAGCCACCGCGTCCGGCCAGTATTAGACACATTTTAAGTGCTCAATAGCCACATGTGGTTAGTGTCCTTATTGTATGGCACAGAGAGCATTTCCATAATTACAGAAGCTTCTATTTGACAGCACTATTCTGAAGAAATAATTCTAAGGTACATTGTTCTCTCTAGATGCAAAAGAAAAGCCTATATAGGCTTTATTTAATCATTAATAAAAATGTATTCACTAACAAAAATAGCTGGATAGCTAAATATCTATCATTGGAAAATTGTTTATAGCATACCCACGTCAAAGATAATTGAAGTTAAGAATGGTTGAAAAACCAATATACTTAAAACAACAGTGGCTATGCCAAAACATGAGATGTAATTTTAGTAAATGAAAAAACAAGTTGTAAACTCATTACAACTCTAAAATGTATGTGGATAAACATTGGAGAAGTCACAATTCCTGCTATTTGAGCAGACACAGAGAAATCTAGACTAAAAAGATATAGGGACTTGGAAGATGGAAGAGCAAGTGAAAATGGAATAAGCAGCACAGGGAAAACTGGGCATTTCTTCAGTGCGGGATTAGCTACAACAATTGTTTTACGGACAGAAAAGGTAAGCAAACATGACTAAGGACTTGTCAAATCTGGGGGCGTCTCATTTAAACCTTCCCATACTCCACTGTTCTGTGTTGGACACTACTAACCTCCTTACTCTTGATATTAACTAGGTTTCCGTAAAACTGTTTTTGTGGCTCCATTTACCTCTCCAAACTCTGATCATTTTTTATCTGATCCTCAAGTCTAGGTGTTAAACCTCTTGCTGTGCTTCCTCTTTTCACTTTGTAGCAAATGGTTTCCTTTCCTTCTCAATTTGCTTTTACTTGTCTCTTATGCTCAGGCCTTCCTCCTTTCTTTCCCAGGAGCATTCAATTCCTGCTCTCAAGTCATAGGTTCTTCCATCAAGTAAAATTTGGGGCCTGAAAATCCAAATGACCATATCATATGCAGGTAGATAAGGATGCCACCCCCATTAGGTTGGTTTTGTCCGATTTTTTTTTTTTTTAAAGACAGGGTCTCGCTGTCACCCCAGGCTGGAGTGCAGTGGCACAATCAGTTCACTCCAGCCTCGGACTCCTGGGCTCAAGCAATCCTTCCACCTTAGCTTTCGGAGTAGCTGGGATTATAGGCACCCGCCACCATATCCGGCTAATTTTTTTTTTTTTAATTTTTATGTAGAGATGGGGTTTTGCTTTGTTGCCCAGGCTAATGTCAAACTTCTGGCTTCAAGCAGTCTTCCTACTTCGACCTTCCAAAGTGCTGGGATTACAGATGTGAGCCAACATGCCTAGCCAGATCTTTTGAAATGGTTTGTTTCAAGTTTGACTTTCATCATGGAAACTTTTGAGACTGATTTTTCAGTCAAACACACCATTGAAATGGATGCTTTTACCTTTCTATTGGCAATCATTCTTGTTTAAGCAAAGAATGGTATTACTAAATTAGGAGAATTATTTCATTCAGGGTGCATCATTGTTCTTAATGCAAGTTGGTTCTTTGGGCAGTTATCTGAAAGGGAAACAGGAACCCTGCAAGAGATCATTTTAGTAGTACCTTGTATTTCATATAGTGGAAACAATGGTATCTGTTCTTCACTGGAGATTTAACAAAGCATATGATAATTTTTTCTCTTGACATGGAAATTCAGTTCAAAAAACAAGATTTTAGCACCATGGCCATAGCCTGGAAAAAGTATTTTGGCTTAACCAGTGAATAAAATTCAGTAACAAAAGACAAAGAATGAAGGCAGGTTCTAAGATTCTAATGTTGAAGAGGACAAGAACTAGCTTTGACTAGTCCATCTATTCCTATAGCGTTGGCCTTCTCAGGTTACAGGATCTAGCTGATCTTATTGGCTGCAAAGGCCTGCTGCCCAGAAGGCTTTTAGTAATTGTTTACCGAATGAGGTAATGGTTTTGTCCAAGGAGAGTCATGATAATCATAGCATAAAACTTGAAGTTATTACAGTAATTGCCAATTACTCATCTTCATGGGCTAATTGTCAACTCTTTTCAACCAAATTTTTCTCCGTTTCAAATATTTTAAAACTCATGAATCTTTGAGAGTGGGAGTTTTGGGCTGGTCATGGTTGCTCAGACCTGTAATCCCAGCACTTTGGGAGGCAGAGGTGGGAAGATCACTTGAGTACAGGAGTTTGAGACCAGCCTGGGCAACATAATGAGACCCTGTCTCTACAACAAATTGAGAAATTAGCCAGGCACGGTGGTGCATGCTTGTAGTCCCAACTACTCAGGTGGATCACTTGAGCCCAGGAGGTCAAGGCTGTAGTGAGCTGTGATCGTGCCACTGCACTCCAGCCTGCATGATAGAGCGGAGACCCTGTCTGGAAAAAAAAAGAGAATCCTGAAGCCCTTTGAGAGTCAGATTTTTAAAGCTGAAAAAGAATGAAACTGTCTGCCACTCCCTGATTAACTATGAAACAGTTCTGCATTTCTGCAAATAGTAGAAGTTATTTTTAGGACTGAAATAATGACCTCACTTTCCCAGGCATGTAGGTTCAGCTGTTTTGATTGTGGGAAGGTCAGGAATGTCCAAAACTCATACATGGACTCGTGGTGAATCTCTGCATAAATATCTTTCAATAGGCATTGTTGTGTTAAAGAAGAACTACATATAATAAAAAAATACTGCATTGTATTTCCAGCACTTTAAAACATAACATTAAAAAATCTCTCTTTGGTAGCATTCCACAGAACCTTTAAGCCAAAATGGTTTTTAAAAATATGAAAAATTGAAATTACACTCAGTGACCTGGTCTAATTTTAAATAATCAGAAATTACAAAAGTTTAAATAAAGCAGAAATGTTGGCAGGTATGTCAACTTAAGAACTTAAAGCTACGGAAACTATCATATGTATGCCAATTCTACAGGAAATTATTTGAAGAATTGGAAGACAAAGTGCAGAAAACCTGATTAGGGCAGTTAAAATTGGATATCCTTGGGAGGAGGAGGAGGAATGGATAGTAGAGGAGATAGGATTGTTAGGAAAATTGGAGGAAGAGAAAGCTAACAACCATATCATTTTCTAGGATTTCCCTCATCTACCTTTCTTTGGAAGATACAACTAAAACCAACAAAGGCCCAGTTTGGTAAATAAGAAGTTTAAACAAGTAAGTGTTTTATCATAAAGTTTAATTATGATTCAGAAAAAATCGAGCAAATAACTTTCTCTGAAAAAAATATATTGACTCTGTATAGACCACAGTTATTGGGGGAAAGGGCTGGTAGGTTAAATTACCCTATTTTCTATTCTGAAAATGATATCAATAGAAAGTCCCTTTTCCAGTCTGAGTATAAAGATACATATGCCCAAAATGGCTGAGAATAAATACAACAGGAAATGCAAAAGCTGTAAAGCATGTAAAGGGCATGCAAGAGAAAAATCTCAAAAATACCCAAAGTGGCAACAAGGAACGTTTGGCTGGAATTTGAAATTCTTTCAGTCATCTTTGTCTTTTGCTCCGTGTTTCAGGATGCGCGTGAACTCGATGTAATTGAAATTCCCCTTTTTGTCAATAGGTGCTTCTCTGTACAGCTCATCCACTTCCTCATCCGTAAACCGATCCCCCATGGTTGTCAGCAGCTCTCTCAGGTAATCTTCCTGAATGGTGCCTGGAGAATACAGAACAAGGGATCAGAATACATACTACTCTGAGGGTCAATCACAAAGAATATCTATACTCGACTAAGCATGTTCTGTATGTTAAAAACTATAAACATGCAAACATGTGAACTCCAGGGTGTCCACCTACTTAAAATAGCCTCAGCAGGGAAGTGCCTAGAAAAATGCCCAGATGCTTAGCAGCGTTGTTCTGCTCTATCATTCTGCCTCCACATTCAGCTTCTGATCTCTTGATAATAGACTAAACCTGTGCCTAAACAAAGTAATAAAAAGTATGGTTAAAGAATCTAGCCTTATGGTTCCTTAAAGTGACATGAATGGTCATGTGTTATTCTACAAGCAAATAACATTGACCTGCCACGCTAAAATCAACACTACATCATACACATCAATAAAGTGGTACAGTGGAAAGAATATTGGAAACTTGAGGCCCAGTTTTAACAAGCTATTTTATTTCAGGCATTTCACTTTATCCCTGACCTTTGCTTTTCTCAGGTGTAAAATGAGATTTTTACTGTTTACAAATCCAATTATTATAACAAATATGGCCAGTCCCAGCACATGCAAAAACATGGAATAAATATTTGAGCACTAACTATGTGGCAGGCACTGTGCTAGGCAGTGGGGGGGGTGTGCAGTGGTAAAATGAAAGGTGTGCTCTTTGGGAATTTGATACCAGGGTTCTCATAAAATCTGCCTGCCTACAAGAATCAGATGTCACCGAAGATTTTCTGGTATTGGTATTTTTAAGATTTCCCAAATAACTGGCATGGACATGTGGGGAGCCTTGAAAGCCACAGACCATGCTTCCATCAGCAGGCCCTGGCAACCACGCAGTATTTAAACTAGTCCCACTAATGCAGGCAACCCAAGATTGTGCCTTCCTTCACTAAACATACTTGGCTACGCCATGTTGAGTTGGGTGTCATGGAAAATATTCCCTCATTATGTTTTACACTTCCGCCAAAGGATCAGGCCCCTATATAGTTAACATTTTGTTTTTTTTGAGAGTTAACTCTATGCCACACAGTATGCTAAGTACTTCATGTACATCTCACTTCATTTACTTCTCACAACCACCCTGTGAGGTAGGTAATACTGCCCATTTTACAAATAAGAAGACAGAGGCTTAGAGAAAGTCAAGCAACTTGCCCCAAATTACACAGCTATTATGTAGAAGAGGAATATGAAGCCAGATAGTCTAATTCCAGACCCTAAGTTCTACTGGGTATATTTTAAAATAGAGGTTAAATGTCAGATTTAAACAATTTGAGAGCTGACAGATACCTGGTAAACACACACAGGATTGTAGTGGTGCCACAGCCTATAACAATTTATACTTCATCAAGATTATTCTGTTAAAAGTTTTTTATTCAATACATATTTTCTGATAGCCTAACCCTTGTGGAGTTAACATGCTAGGAAAGGGGTAATACAAGTTTCCCAAAGAGGTTTCAAATACAACCTATTCGTTGTGAACTACTACTTAGGGCAGAAGCAGAACGTGAGTGACAAACATGCCAAGAGAACTCTGTTTAAAAACACAGGTGTAGTACAAACCTGACGGTGTTATCCTATTTTAAATCACTGTATATTTTAGTTACCATAACTGAAAATTAAATCACTTTGTAATTAAAGGTTACCTCTCACTTACCAGTTGCTTCTTCATCAAAGCAAGCAAAAGCATTTCTGATGACATCTTCAGGATCCGTGCCATTTAACTTCTCACCAAACATGGTAAGGAACATGGTGAAATTGATGGGGCCTGGAGCTTCATTCATCATGGCATCCAGATACTCATCAGTTGGATTCTTCCCTAAATTTTTAAAAGGGGTCATAATTTTAATTACATTATAATACATATCAACTATTAATGACAGTAAACATTTTGGTAAGAAAGATTATCATTCATACAGTTTACTGTTTGCACTCATGACAGCAAAACTACTTGGGGGGGAAAGTTTTCTTAATGAATAGGGCCTATTAAAGAGTCTGGAGAGTATATGATATTCCATTGGAATGTCAGAAGGAATAATACTGCTTCCATAATCTAGATTAGTGTTTTCATACACACACACACGAACCCCAACCCAATCCTAAGACAGGGTCAGGAATCTGCTGGTGGTTCAGTGGGAAACACTGTTCCACACTTTACTCAAACCATTAGACAGGTTTTACAGAGCTTTAAGACTCATGAAATCAACATGAAAGGCACCGTGGAAATTCTATCCAATAGATTAATATTTAAACTGAGCATTACCCAATGAAGCAAGCATATCATGCAAATCTTCCTTGTCGATGAAACCATCTCTGTTCTGATCAATCATGTTGAAGGCCTCTTTGAACTCCTGAATCTGTGACTGGTCAAACATGGCAAACACATTGGATGTTGCGCGCTGAGGGCGCTTCTTGGTCTTGGTCTTTGCTCTTTTGCTTGACATGGTGGTGGTTAAATCCTAATTAGGAAAGGAAATACAATAAAAACTAAATCAACATCTAAGATTACTTAAGTTTGAATCAAAACAATGATTAACAAAAGTACACAGAATCAGCCTTCCTGATATGTTTGAGCTACTCAGAAATGTGTCTTTAGAAGACACATGTCAACAAGATTACATATGATCCGTACTGCTATATAGCTAACAACAGCTGATAACCAAATCTGCTAATTTGATAACAATAAAAAACCAAGCATCAAAAAAAATTAGTTACCTAGGAAACTCCCAAGTTCTATACTTCAGCACTATGGGGGTGCTGAGGGATACTAACTCATCTTCAGTAGGTCCACCCTTTGCAGCCTTAGCCTAAATTGGCTATTCCATAGTACAGTGGACAGAAAGGTGAGGAACAGTAAGAACGACTAACTGATGGAACAGGTCTTCATCTCCGAATCTCTATTGACAAATATTGTTCTTCCACTTTCAACTAACATTTTTTATTGTACCCTCACCTCTAGGCAAAAGTAGTTCAAGAAAACTGTTTGTTGAAAGGCTAACAATAAAGGCTAAAAAAACTGAGGGGAATTCATCTACAGTTTTTATAGACATTACACTCTATCCAAACCAGTTTCTTGTATTACAGTCACACTAAATCACTGGAAGTATCTAAGACCTCTAAACAGAAATCAGAGTACAAGCTTTTAAAATAATTTAAATGTTTTAGAAAACATCTTAAAGGTAGAAACTACCTTTGCTCTTTATCTAAATTTATCCCAGTAAAATTTAAGTTAAAATTAAAAAGAATGTCTAGTAATACCTAAAATAAAAAGGCAACTTTCCTTTCAATACTCAATCTTTTTTAAAAACTACAAAAATTTGTTTGAAGTTCCATAGTCATCAGACAATAAAATTCTACCATACCATCGTTCAGAGTTGCAGTGAAGATGGTAGTCTGCAAAACCGCTCAGCAGCAAAAGTAAGACACTGCATTGAGTTATATTCTTCCAAGCAGGTCTAAAATAGGCACTACTGATTTCACTCTGACCAGGATAACAATTTTAAAGCTTACGTTCTGAAAACATTTAGCTATGATCTGGCAAAACACTATGCCACTGCTCTAAAAATAAGTCTGTGGACTGCAAAGAATGAACTACCACCTAGATCTCAGCACTCCACAGTGACCCTACGAATATGTTTCCGATGTGTTTAAAAGTAATTTCTTACATTATTTCCTTGATTATAACCACATCGTCCAGACTAAATACAATTACGGAATGATCAGAAAAGCTCTGCCTCAAATTTTTAAAAGCTAAATCTGTTTTCAGATTTTAATAGGAAATTCCACAAAGGATAGTCACAAATTCCAGCCCATCCAATATAGCACCATATGGCAACTGGAATATATTGTTGAAAAGATATATCCTACACAGCACAGAAGTTATGATATATGCTGCTCCCAAATTTCCTAGAATTCTTTAATCAACTTTTAGGATGCTGCCTTTCATGACTTAAACCATTCATAAATGCATATTTTCATTCTATAACACCTTTGGAGGTAGTAAATCCCATTCATATCTAAACTACATAGGGTTGTACTTTCCTGTTTGTTGTAAGTGCTGTCTTTAAAAACGACAAAGAGTTATAGAGTATATTATTCCTCCATCTCTTAAATGTACTCAAGGACTTGCAGCAAGAGGTTGAGACCCAATGTGTGACACGTTTACCAGTCCATATCACTTTCATATTTTAGGCATGTCACGCCTTTGCAAGCCAAAGCACATCTTTAAAAATAGTCTGTTTTGTGTGACAACATTGTCTTTCCCTAATGATGCAGAAATGTCAGCTATTTTAAGAACAAAGAACTGATGAGGTCAAACGGCTGCCACAACTGATTTTTTAATCTATTATATAAAATCTCATATTACTAAATTTATGGGGGTCCTCTAGATACCTTTTCAAAATGTTTAGGTTTGGTTGTAAAGTAGTATGTTTTCTGAATTCTGATGTATTTCCTATTCTTTTAATCATGCACTTTTTTGAATTTGTAAATGTATTATAAAATAGATTTTTAAAGTAAAAAAGTTTTTTTTTTTGTCAGCACTGACAGTGGCTTCATATAGAGCTCTTCTTCAGCATATTCAAGACTTAATCTTATCAATCTTATTATGAACAGTTAATTACACTAATATGTATCAAATGTCATATTAATTACGTTGAATACTACTTAAGAGTTAAGAAATGTAAGGCATGTGTCTTATCTTCAAGGAACTTAAA